TCTCCCACCTATTTGGTATCCCACTGAACAGCTATTTTGCACCTGCCATCATTTTTATATTTACCTTCAATAACTAACGAAAATTGCAGATAACACGAGGCAATAAACACATGCTGGCTCCTGAGGGAGACCGGGCATCCACACTCCCCACAGCACAATCAGGACACGGAAAGATATTTTTTCCTGTGGCTTTAGTCCACCTTTGAACCTAGAAAGATGCTGCTACAGAGAGAGAACTCGTAACTTGTGGCTCAGTTCCCTTTAGCCCAAGCCTCTTTTCCCTTCGTTCCAGTTATAACTACAGATCCTTCCAGCATCGTTAAGGAGCTAGCCCACCGTACCGAGCTGAGTCTCACCTCTGAGTGAAGTGGGTCTCAAAGCAATGATAAAGCAGGGAGAGTCTCATCATTCGCATTTTACAGGGGAGAAAACTGAGATGCTGTCTGTCACAACTGGACTCCTAAATCCTCAGGGAATGCAAGGCTCATGGGATTAGTAAGGGGTCTTGGGTTAAGCTGTTAGTCACTACTACTTCAAATGCAGCACTGAGGGGGAGGAAGAATACTCTCTGAAACTTCTAAAAAGAAACACACTCCTTCATACAACAAGAGATTTATGAACTGAATTTGAACTGATAAGGGCAGGACCTTTTCTAGGAAGGGGCATACACTCCTAACCCAGAGCTGGAGTCTTTACAAGCAGTACCAATAAGGACTAGAGGTGACTATAGTGATTTATTAGTCACCAACAACTTTCTCAGCATCTTTATAAGCAACAGGAGGTGGGTACCCAGCAGCATGAGGAATATCCAGCTCTAAACAGCTCAAAGTGCTGTACAGCGAAGTGCTGACAGCCAGAAGTCACAAGAGAAACAGAGATCCACAGCTGAATTTCCATAAACTAGGTTCCCATTTAGTTTCAGCCTCAGTTAAGCATTTCACTGTGGGTGGGCTATAGGCTGGACTTTCAGAGCAGTTAAGACACTGCACACATTGCATACAGCTGCCTACCGGGGCTGGTGTGCCAAAATTCGCACCAGTCCCGTTTACAAAAGCAGGGGTGGGGTGGGAGACAGTGAGAAAAAAGTTTGTTTATTTCTTACTGTTAGGATGTGTGTGGTAGGGGGGGGAAAGCAACAAAATCCTGCCAGCCCAGAGGAAAAGGCAGGGTCAGCAATACCTCCTATAGAAAGTGGTCTTCCAGGCAGGTCAATGCGCACTTCTTCCCCAGCTCTGCCATGAGCCCCGTTTAGCTCAAGTACAAGAGCTGTTGCTCTAGTTAGAAATCACTATGACGACAACCACAGTCTCCTTTGGTCCACTCATGCACCCACTGCGTGCCTTTGCAAACAAGCACCTTCATGCTTTCTTTTGCATTGCTCTGAAAACTCGGAGGGAACCCAATGAAAACATCTGGAAAACCAATTCCTTCTCCTTTGGAGAATCACCCTCATGAACCCTCTGGAAGAGTTGAGTTATGCCATTACCATTGCACTTCCACTACTTAAGCAATATTGTCTCCTTGATCTCCTCCCTCTATCTCTGTTACTTAAGTTTGTTTTTAAGGTGGCTCTGCTGAGGCAGTGACCATGCTCTGAGCTATGCCTATGGTATCCCTAACACAGCAGTGTCCTGTTGGATGAGCAGGGCTCCCAGATGCAGCTGTGACACAAAGAACTGGGAATACAGTTTCAATATCTTTTCTCTTTATCAGATTTACAACAAAGTCAATATTGAGGACCTCAGTGTTTTGCTTGCGCAATCACTTGCTGGACAGTAAAAATTATTTTACTGTCCTAATTTATTTTTTCCTAATTTATTTTCCTAATTTATCAGGTACTTGGGGCAATGTCAGCAAATGGTTACAGAACATACCCTTTCTGGAGTCTCCCAGACTATGAAGTGGGAAGCCTTCCCCTGAAACTCCATGACCTGCCAAGTGAAAAAACAGTCAGAAAGAAAGGCGAATCGAATCAGGTGGCTCAGGACTCAAATCAGAGTCCCAGCTGCCTGCCACATTCCCTCCAAGACTTATCACTGGCCTTGGCTACGGCTTCTCCCATCTTTAAAACGGGTATTATAAACCTTTTTTTTAATCTCCCTTAATTCCATCTATTTGGTTTGTAAATTCTCCAGGGCAGAGACTAGTTTTTATTTGAGTGTACAGCACCACATACAGCAAGGTCCTGACCTTGGCTAAGAATCCTAGGCATGATTGAAATACAAAGAAATGACAGTATCTTGATCAAACATGAAGAACTCAGATAAACAATAGAAAAGCAGCTTGATATTTTTTTTTCCTGCAGTCTCTGCTTTTCCGTGACTTGTTTATTCATCTCAAAGCCTCAGCAGACATCTAATCAAGCTGTTAAGAGTCAGATTTGTGGCCAGTCAAGCATTCAGGGAGTTGTTAAATGTTCAAAAACATTTCTATTCTGCAAACAGCTACTTTTTTTTTTTTCTTTCTCTCAAATAAAAATACGGTTTCTTTATTCACTGTATACTGACCATTTTCCTATTGAAATTGCATCAGGGTGATAAAGTAACTTCTCCACTAACAGGTCTCGTTAAGCTTTGGGTAGGAACACCTGACGTTTTTAGGCCTATCTTGTTTGCACTTTTTGGTACCAATCCAAATCACACTACAGTTAGACGAAGCAATGATTTCAGCAGGCTTAAGAAAGAAGGAAAAATGTGATAGTTTCCAGATGAGTGTATTATACTAAATTTAACATGCCTTTTGGTACTTAGAATTTCCACTTTTTCTCCTTCCATTTATGCAATTAGAAATCAAGCAGCAGGAAACTGTTCCTATTCCAACTTCAGCTGGGAACAGTATGGTCTCATTCCCACAGAGAGAACCAGAAGATTTGTCCTCACAAGGAGTTTTGTACAGCTTACACGGACAGGTTCAAAAATAGGTTTTTAAGAATACAATCTTAATAAAAGCAAAACAAAAACAGGCCGATTACACACTTGTGTAGGTATATATATTTATGTGTCAGGACAAACAAGCAGCAGCAGCAAGGCAGCTGTGAAAAACAAAGTCATTATCACCCTATTTAAAGAAAAAGAACACTGAAAAAAATAAAATCCATTTCTTAGAGTAAAATCATGTAGTTTTTCCACATTCATCCTAATGAATTTTGTATTAACGAGCAAGCAAATTTGTTCTGGTTATTCTCACTCCACTCACGGAGGACATCCACAGCATACCCTCTCTGAGTGCCAGAGCAAGAAGAACCACTCGTTTGCAGCCCACAGGAGATCAGACTAAGAATTAACTCTGGGAAGTCATATGTAAACTAAAACAGAGCGTGCCAAGGCAGGGACATGCCATTTCCAGGGACAAAAAAATGAAAATGACATCCATCATCACAGCCTGAACAACACAACACTCGCTGAAGCTTTTTGTGCAGGTTGATAGTCAACATATCCAGAGGGCTGCTGCCACTTTTGGTTTTCCTGTTTCTTCCCCCAGTTGATGCTTTTCTCTCCAGCTGAACCCATTGCTTCCTGGACGGCTAGCACTGCAGCGCACACACACACAGAACTCAATAAAAACACTTTCCAAACCACAGAGGAGCTACGGCTCCAAAGTACATAGTTCAAATTAAAGATTGGGGCCAGATAAAATGATTCAAAATTGGGAAGAAAGATATCCTGTTTCCAATAAGTTGTTTTGACCTGACTGATGAATGCAGTCCGGCAAGGGAGGAGGTGGAAAAACAAGGACATGCTCAAGCAGTGGTCCTGGATGGTATCATGCTTTGACAGTCTTTAATGTTGTTCTGGCATTAAAGGTATTTTATTTCACAAGTCCCTTGCTCTAGGCTAGCTCTTCAGCTTCTGTTGACTCTGGGCACAGCTCAACATGTTTCTTCGGCGTGCACAAGCCATACGCAAGTGCCCACGGGACGTGGGGGTGCAGGACTGCTGTAGCACCTGGACCAAAGCTCAGTGCCATTGCTCAGCAACATAAGGAGTTTCTCAAGCTCTCTGAACTCAGAAGTCTGCCCATCCATCTGTCCCCTTCCCTTTCTGGCACCATTTGGAAAACAAATATTGTGTAACTTCTTTTCTATTATCTCCCCTTTCTGTAGGGGAATGTGTTGTCACTCTTCCAGTCACCTGCACTGACCACGCCTTCAAGAGAGGAAAGCTCCTTATCAACCTATCCTATTTCCCTTCTGTCATGGGAGATGTCTATTTACATCGTGTGCTATATGGGCAGGACATACCAGGGATGGGAGGAAAAAAAAAATAAGTCCTCAAGAGCCATCGCAATTGCTAGAAAGCCATGCTAAGTAAAACGGTGAAGACCTCTTGAATCAGAAGAAGCGCAGTAGGCTGCATGCTAACAAATATTTACAAGGGCTGAGGTAAATGTAAAACAGAAGGCAGCACTCGGACCAGTGACTTGCCAAGGTAATAAAGAGCTTTAAATATTTGTGACCCATTCCCAGACGCTGGAATCAAAACGTTCTCCCACAGAAGAAGGGTGAAAAAACAATCAACCTGAAACACAAGCTCTGAGCCAGCTGCCATGTGCATCTGTTTAATTCGCCTACTATACCAGGGAAATTTCAAACTTGATCTGCTCCAAGACTCAAAGCTACAAGAGACAACAGTGGCTAACTAAGTCTGCCACAAGGTTGGGATTTGCCCTTTTCTATCCTGCCTTTTTAGAGAGGACAAAATTCCAATTTTAAAGGGCAACTGTACAAACAGGACATAAGAGTATTTATATTCCTCTCCAAACACCGGCACAAGCAGCAGGGGTTGAGTGGGTGATTTATGAGGTGGGAATGCTTCTTTGAACTGTATGTTAGATGGGGGCTGCCTTTCAAGAGTGGAGAGCAACATACAACGGCTGTCTTTTCTGAAGAGCTCTGAGAGAGGCTTTACCCAGGTGGTCACAGCTGCTAGGTACTCAAATTGAAGTCCTCTCCTTCCATTCTCTCTCTCCCTCTCACTCACATACAAAGTCAACACACCAGAGAAGGCCATTTTTGTTTTATTTATTTCCCAGAAGAGCTCTTCCTTGAACTTTCCAGACATACAATACAAAACAAGGAACAGAACGTTGTTTTGTGCATGGAAACAGTTTGTTGGAGTATAAAGAGTTACTGGTGATCATTACTGAAGAATGTTGGCTTATTCCAGGGGCACTTCAGTATTCCTGAGGAATAATCATTGATTTCTCCTTCCTTCCCACTGGGATAGTCTTAGCCATTAGTCACTGTTCCTGTAAAGCAAGAAGGCTTATATTATTAAAAAGCCATTTGGGTTCCTCACATGGAAGGCGCTGCACAATGTAGAGCAAGCCACTCAGCTTTGTAACATTTCCAGAAGGCAGGCTAACATTTTCATCCTTCGCTAGACTGAGAAGCTAGGTAGTTATTTTCATACCAGAAACATGCCATGTTTTCATGCATATAAGCCTCTGTTCTGGTCAACTTGGTACTTCAAAAAAAAAAAATAAAAAATTGTTCAAGTTAACTATTCACAGATTGAATAGAATACAGAAATCAAAACCACAAAGGGCAGGAGGAAATGTTCCAACTGCTGAACCTCTGGTGCTGTTGTACATTGATATAATCAACATTGTTATCAACGTATAATTTTTTGTAGTAAATATAGACCAAATACCTGAAAAGTATGATACTTGGCATTTTGCAAAGATGTCTAGGTCATGTAATTCTTGGCTATCCGGTTTTAAGCCTTGGAAAAATTGCTAAATGTTGTTTTTAACTTCATCTGAAGTCATGGCAAAATCCATTTGATCAAATGACTTAAAGCCCTCAATCTTATGACCAAAAATTATAATTTTACTGCATTTTAAGTAGTCTTGCTCTAGATGACTGGTTCTTGTATTGGTTTCATGATCATTTTACTAATCCAAAGGACAAGCAGTGAGATGATCCAAGTAACAGCCAAAATGGGTGCAAAGTCACTTTGTAGTCTCCTGATTATTTGATATTATGAGGGTCCTTCATCCTCTCTCATTCTCACTTGGGACTCACAATCAACAAATTGAAGAATCAAGAATCCAAACTGGATAAAGCCCCATGTAACCTGGTCTAACCTCACAGCTGACCCTGTTTGAAGTTAGATTAGGTGACCTCCTGAAGTCCCTTCCAACTTGAGTTATCCTGTGATCCCATGAATGTGACAGGTTCAGAAAACTACGAATAATTTCATTCAAGCTGATCCATGTTACACTTTTCTCTCTCTTAACAAAGCTGATTTTCTTGCAGAATCTCACATTTTGAGAAGGTAGCATTTGAACAAAAACTCAGTTTGGAAAGGAAGTTCTATAGACTTCAGTTACAACAGTATTTTCTAGGAAAAAACAGATGAGTGATAATGCAACAATATTTTCCATGCTCCTAACCAACAGAAATGAAATAATTTTGTAATAATAACCCTGGAGCCATTATATGTGACACAACACTTTGGAGAGAATTAATGACATTAACTGTTAGATGGCTTCATCTGCATCTTCCCTCTCTCAGCATGTTCAGCCTCTGTGTGCCAGAGAAAGCTAGTGGAGACAGCGTGCTGGAAACTGTCTAGTCTTGTGCCATGCAGGCAGCTGTGCTTCTTCTGTGAAGTGTCCTGTCCTTTCAATTACCTCATGCTCCAAAGGACCACCCTCGCTCCAGAGCACAGATTAAGTCCTTAATCCAAACAAAACCCCTTACTAGGCTGACCTGAAAGTCAGTTTTCTGTTACTCAACATTTTAAGTAACAAGCATCTTTGAATGAACAATACTTTCTCAGAATATGTGAACAGGGCATTCTCCCTTCGCATGAAGCCACAGACATTTCACTCCAGTTTCTTTCTGGGGACATAAATTGGAGCAATATCCTCTGGATGGCATGCAAAGCTAATGCATTTTTGACATTAACATATCTGGCCAGGAAAGTTATACACAGACTTTTGATTCTGGAACACCACTGGGCCGTAGCTGGCAAAGTTGTATCAGTTGGATCTAAGCCACAGTTGCTTTATTTCACCATCCAAAGTATTTTATTCTAAAGTAATCGTTCAAGAATCTTTCAAGAATCTTGTTCTTGTTTCCTTTTTTTTTTTTTTTAAACAGGCAGCTGGAGATGATCACAAAAAGGTTTGTCTGGTAAGGTTCCAGAAGGCTGGCAAAAGCTCATCTGCCAAGTCAATCTGCAGAGGACTGGACTCAACTTTCACCTCTAGATGTGTCAGGAAAAAGCCTAAAATACTTTCAGGCCTTCTTCGTTAAGCAGAAAAGTGACACAACATCAACTTTTGCATTCTGTTTACTTGTCATGAAAAACTCCTGACAGAACATCTTACCTTGGTACTTTCTGAAGCTCTCAAATAACTACAATATCCTGGTGGGTGCCTCTACACTGCTATCACTGCAGTGCTTTTAGCAGTATATGGTTTTGCAGATCCAAAACATTGCTCCCTCCCTTACTTATTTTTAAAAGATCCCACAACAATAAATTACAACAAAAACAGTCCCAACTTTTATATGTGAAGAAACAGAAAGAATATTAATGAAGTCAGTTTCTGAACTTAGCGTATCATGAGCGCATTGTCAGTAGCTTGTGAGTAAAGAAATGGTTCCTACTAATTAATCTATTTTAAAAATATTAATATTAATCTGTTTTAAAATATTTAAGCTCCATGTGATCAGTGATAACAATGAAGTCATTTAAATTATTATCTTCAAAACTATTCTGAAGACAATGTACACAAATAAGTATTACATTATGATCCAACAATACAAGCCACAAGAACTTCCAAATGATTGTTTTCATGCTGCAAAAAGATCGAAAATCTGCTTCCACAGGCAGATGTACTTCAACAGGCAGATCTACTTGCCATGACTTCCACTTTCTCCCTAGCCGATCTCTTTCGAAGTCTGAAGACAATCGTACTGTCAGTTTGGTTTTTCAGCTTTTCTAAGATCTATTTTTATTACATATGTTCTCACATTGTGAGAAAATCTATCTACAGGATCTGCTAAACTAATTTTATCTGTCCGGTCTAATAAATTTACTGTTAACATGCCAGATATTAAGAATTTCTGATGAGCAAGGGAAGCACCCCTGCTACAGCAGCACAAGTTTCTTCTAACAAGTAAGACAAGTAGACATTTAAATGGTATCTAGGTATACTATTTAGTGATAACTTAACCATACTTACTGAGTAACAATAACCGGTACCCATGCTTACCTTTACAAATTTACCATGGAGAAGATATGGAGACTGGAAGTCGTGCTGACAATTGGAATAAGCCATTCCTAACCCCATCCCCGACCCAAACGCAATAGGCCATGTCTTTCCTGTGGGGAAGGCAAGCAGAGAGGAAAAAGTAAAATTGAGAAAAGCAATTTATTTCACATGACAGTGACAGCCTTGTTATATAAACACCAAGAAAGAATATATTACTGGAAGATGCACATAAGGCATTTTCAGTTCTATGAGTATCCAAAAATCTGCTAAAAAAAGAGCCACTTCAGAAAAACAGTAAGACATCATATTTAGAATTTAATGGAGCGCAAATGCCTGAATTCAAGATATTACTGAAAATTATTCTGTTAGCAAGGCATAACTAGAGAAGAACTTAAAACCATTTTAAAACCCTGGCAGGACTGGCATAAACTGATGTCTAGACAAATGGCTCCAGTAATTTGGCACAGCGTTTCCTGCAATTCCAGAAGTTGACTGAGCACAGTAGGAGCTTAGAGAGATGTCACATATAACAACCCTGTTACCCAACAGTTAAAACCTTAGGTAACTCCATTTCAACTGGAAAAAAAACACATGACCAATAGTGAAAGAGTTGGTTTAACAAACTGATTAAGTTTTTACATGCCTCCAAAATTTCTTGGTTTTAAACTGCAGCTATATTAGACAAAAGTTATCAAACCAAAAAGCCAAGATTACTGAAATACACTTACTTTTGAAGAAGATGACTGAGAAAACAATTCCTAATCCGAATCCAGCACCTGTAAGAATAAATTCAGCGAGTGACGACTAAGATAATGCAAAGAAATAAAAAATGATTTAGTTCATTACAGTAACTCTTTGTTCCAACTCAGGAATAACAGACTACATGTTATTTCAATACACCAAACAAAAACGTTCTTTAATGCAATTCTGAAACAAAGAATTCTTACTTTCATCAATAATTGAAAGCAGCTATTCTTACTTTCTTCAATAATTGCAAGCAGCTAATTCAAATTAGAATCCCAACATATACAAGAACTTCATTATCAGGAAGAGCTGGGAAACAAACTAGACTCTAATCCCAGGGAAAGTTACTGAATTTCTGTCACCATCCACAATGTGGAATTAAGATTTATTTAGCTCATTGTCAGTAAATGAGAAACACCAAAATGAAAACTTAGTGTCCTTGAGCTTTAGATTTTGCAGATTAATATCTTATTGTATTGCGTTTATCTCACTACTTTAACTACTTCAATGTGTGTCCTGAGGGCAGCAAAACTTTGATGCTTTGTGTTACTCTATACCTTGCAAAAGAAAGCTCCGGGCTGCTTATCTTTCACATCCACAACATTCATTATGGAGCATATTTAAACGAATTAGGAATGAATGACTTTCACATCCTTATACTATATATAGAAATAACTGCAGCAGTAGAAAAAAACGTATCCAGCACCATTAAAAAATTCAGCTGGCATATTTAAAAATAATTTTTGCTTTCCTTGGAAGGTGTGCAATGATTTTTTTTTTTTGCAAGAACTCAGGCAAGTCTGCAAAATTCCTCTCAAAACCCAATAAATATAAAAGTGAAAAGTTTGAGTTCAGTGGCTAAATTTGACCCCTAATTATATCCGCTGAAGACAAGAATTTTAGATAAGGTGCAGAAGTTTTTTTTAAAAAAACAACAGCCATGCATATGCTCACTGAAAAAATACCTAATGGTTTCAGGTTTATTTTGCAGCAAACTAATCCTGCCAGGGTGAGGGCTTCTCTGCTTTTAATACAACAAATCTAACTTAAGTATTGCTACTTATGTTAATGAGAAGACATTACTTTTTTTTTTTCTTTAAATAGTCTTAAAAGCATGTAATCCTTGGCAATGCATTCAACAGGAGCTTAAATAAAAATTTATTTAATAAAATTAAATAAATAAATGGGTTGAGTCCAGAACAATGCTAAAGAATCCTATACCATCTTGATGCATATGAATAAAGTTGTGGTTTTTTTTGTTTGTTTTAAAGTTTCCTTTTGTTCCTGAAACTTTTCCTTCCAAAAAGCATACTAGCAGTAGTTCCTGCTGAGGCACAGATTATTGAAACAATACTCTAGCAATGCACTACCTAGCAAATGAACAAAGCACCTCATGCTTTTCGTTGATTAAAAACCCTTAACTATTAGAAGTAATGACTATATGAATAAACCCTCTTACATTTACTCTTGCATTAGGACCTCACTACCATATTTACTGAGTTGAAAATCAGAGTTGCTTTTGAAACCTCTTTGCATTTTACTACACATTTTCATTAGCTCCAACTGCGATAGAAGTAACTACTTTCCCAGGTCATTACAGCTCGGGAGCAGGCTTACAGAACACGCGATTGCAGGGAAGAACTCTGCCTGCCTGCCAAGCGGTCCTGAAAGAACTCCCCCACTTTTTAGAAACCGAGCACTTCACAGAAGGTCAGGTTTTCCCTCTAATCATTTGCACAGCTCAACTCAGGGCAAGTCTCAGCTCTTCGGATGTCTGGTCAGAGCTTCATGCTTTTTCAGCAATTCAGACAGCAAGAGATACAACGCTTGGAGAACCTTGTATAAACAGCTAACTACTCACGCTGAATCGCTGACCAGCATTTATACTCAACTGGAAGAGACATCACGCATTACGAGGAGCAGCAGTTCCTCTGTGCTAATTCCTCCACCCCCCTCCCCAGGCAGAGCCTTCCTTCTGTACCTTTGCTAGAAGACAGCTGGTGCTGGCTCTAGCAGAATGTTTATGCTATTAAGGATAATTACTATCTTCGAGAATTCATCCAACAGACAACTGTTTGGCCCTCTGACCTGCATCCCTCCGACAGTCTCTTCCTACCATACGTAGTTGTGCTGACTTTTTGATTCAGGGCTGTTGCACTGTTGGGCTGAATATGACTTTCTGGTGGTAATTACCTTCCGTTCAACAGCACCAGGTGTTATTTGAACTGCCTGGTTCAGAAGGCCTGCCCTGCACAATACCAGTCCTGCACTTCCAGACAGAGAGCAGATCTCCTCTGTCAATCCAAACAGTTCAGCTGATCAATGAGAAATGATTTACAGGATGACAAATTCTGCATCACCTCAATGCAGAGCCCAAGCAGTTTCTAACGTCATCACATATTCCAGTCACTATTACCAGTCAAACCCACATTCTTCTTACCAGTGTGGTGATAAACTGCTTACTTGTCTTGAAAAATAAAAAAGAAAAATGCACTGCAGAAGCAGCTATAGTTAATAGTTTCTTTCCATCTATATCTTGTATTTGCTTCACCTCCTTTAGATATGAGAATTACACCCCCACTTGTAATGGCCATCAATGCTGTTTCCTGTTGGCCATAAGGGAAGACACAGGATGCACATAAAGGTGAAAAATCCGTTACTTCTGCCAACTGCAAATCAACACAAGCCCAAAATAAAACCCAGGTCTTCCCCACACTTACATCCTGCACCACTGTTGAGCAGAGAGCTCACCATGCCTGACTTGCTAGGACAGCAAGGTATGTTCTTCCTAGGAAAGCTTTTTTCTGAAGTAGCAGTAAGCCAGGTTCTACAGAAGAGATTCCTCTTTTTCATGAAAATGCAAAGCATCTGTTTTGGATGCTATCACTCCACCCTGTTGCAGAAGGAAGGGGAGTACAGTGGCTGAAGATTTCAAAAAAGATGATGGTAAGTTAGCCAGGGCCTTGCTTTAGGTAACAAAAGCATCACAAATAAATAAGCAAGGAGGTCTAACAGCTTTTTTTTTTGTTTTGTTTGTTTTCTGTACAAGAAGGAAACTTGAGAAAAAGCCAGAAAAGAAGTACATTAGTGTGCTTGACCCCAAAGGCAGGTTCATTTATTTTCTTGCCGAGAAACAGGCACGAATGTACGCTGGACACTGCAGCGGACAGCATCACACCTACCAGCCAGGAGTGCCCAGGTCTGCCTCATCACGTAGTACATGCTTATGTAACATTTGCTCTTTTCTTGGTTAGTTTAAATTCTGGTTTTAGGTTAAAACCAGAAGCTTGAGCTACACTTCAGTTCTTAGCCCACCTGGTTAAGAATCTATTTCTGTGGACAGTTTGTCACTCATCTTCATTCCGCTAGAAAGCAGTTGTGGTTATGCGGTCATTTCCTGTGTCTCCAAGACCAAGGGGAGCTGAACCGTCTTTCCCTGGAAGCGCAGTAATGCGTTTCACTTTAATTCTGTATAAAGTTACACCAGAGATAAACAATGGCAGAGCTGCTGATGAGTTTTACAGGTTTGAGTTCTCACATGCTCAATTTCCTTTTAAAGAGGCAACATGTTGCTTCAAAGAGCCTCCCACCTGACCAGGGGACACTCAGTCTGCAGCTGTTTCTGCTAAAGATCAGCACCTCTAGGCCAGGCTTTAACTTCATGACAATAAAACATGAAAGGTTTACCTTACAATAAAAACAAATGAACATGGAAAAGCTAAGGGCTTGAGCCACACTGGGCACATTTTCCCTCCCTTTCTTGCATGACAGACTCTTTGGAGGAAAAGGCCACAGGAAAGGGTACAACACATTTTTCACCTCCTCTGACAGCTTAAAATGTTTAACTAGAAAAACAGCCTCTTCCACCCCACATCTATCAATTCAGTTTAAACTCATTTACAGTCAGAGTCAACAGGGGACAGGCCAGTTCTGCTGACATCTTACTCCCCCTCCCTGGCCATATGTAGTGGTGCAGCCACGTGGAATTGGCATTAGGCAGGAAGCCTGGTCTCAGAAAATTCTCATTCTACTTTTTTGGCTCGTACACCTTCCAAGAACAACATCACGGTACCTCCAATCAATCTAACACAGAGGAGCACGTGCCACATACCCAACAGGACATCATAAAAGTGTCTCGTCAAGAAACACAGATCTTCCAGATAGACTCTTGTCCCTGAAGAACATCTGGGAAAAGCTATTCCTATAAATTTAATCAACAGCCCCCCCCGGCAGTAAAACGACACGATTCTTTCCTGGGCTACCCGCTAGCTCCAGGCCAAAGCGGCTATTAAGACTGCCACACCTAGATATGCTTCTCTTCAGTACCTTGAAGCTTCAGACAGAAAGACTGAAATATGTTTGTTGACATCTGGCACGTTGCTATAGCAGCTGGAAGTATTTTTTTAATTACTTAGTAGTTTCCTTTTCGTCATCAGATGGTTTTCCTCTCCCATTCCTTACTCACCAACACAAAACACAGAGCTTCAGCCTCCTCTCCTTCACGTTGTTATTTTACAGTTAAAAATAAGTGATAAAAAAAAAAAAAAGGAAGAAGCAACTGCTGGAAGATGGCTTCTTGCTCTAACAAATAACCGCTCTGCATAGACTAGGCTCTCTGAAAGCTGTCAAGGCCTTGTCTTAACAAAGAAGACTTCTCAACTAGAAGGACTCTGGTAGGATCAAGACAATCTCTGGAGCTCTGTTCTTTTCTCTCTGGGGACACTGACAGCAACAGCTTTGAGGCTTAACAGGCAGATCTCATCTGCAGGCCCGAGCATTAGCTCTGTACAGCACCAGAATTTGCTTTAAATAAATACGAAAAATCAAGGTATTCAAAACAGACAACCCTCCAAGTATCCCTTCCTTCCTGTTGTAGGGTGCCACATCCTGCCCTTCTCACCCCCCAAAACAACTCTTTGACAAGATACAAAGATAACCTTTGTACAAAAACGGTGTGGAGAGTCTTCTTCATAAACCAGGGTCTTCACAGGGCAGCGCTTAGCATTATTAGAAATCTGAGACCATGCAGCCA